CTTTTTCTAAACCTTCATTCAGTACAATGTGTAACTTTTCCTTAAAATCATTCATTGGATTACCTTTCAGTACTTTATAGGTCTCTGGATCTCCAAGTATCCTCTTGGGCTCTTTCATATAGTCCTCTCTGTTAAGAATAACAATTCATCCTCCCTTATCGGCTTGTCTAATGACAATTTCTCTATTATCTCTCAATTGCTTAAGTGTCTGTTTTTCTTTTTTTGTTAAATTCTCTTTTCCCTTATTTTTAGATATTTTTTCAAATTTAGTCATAATTATCTCACTAAAAACGTCAATGTGATCTTCTTTTACGCATGTGGGGAAAAAAAAATCTAGATTTATTTTTTAAACCAGAGTGGATTATTTCAAGCATCGGATTATCTTCCGCTAAAATCTCAATAATCTCGATTGGATCATTAAAATTTGTATTATTTTCTTTTTACTTTTCAAAGAAGCGTTTAATGGTGAGATTCCTTAAAAATCTTTGGGTGTCTATAAATAATTCAAACATATTTGGATTTATCTGGAGGGCAAACTTTAGGCCCTTATTTAAAATTCTCAATTGTTCCATATTTAATACCTCCTATTATTCATATTGTGCAGTCTGGACGGAGCTAGATACCATCTATATACCATCTATATAGAATTTTAAAATGATTTTCGTGATGATTGGAGCAGAAAGATAAGCCTTTCAGTGCTGAAAGAAAAATTAAACCAATCCTCCAACTTATATTGGGTACCCAACTCCGTCTCCCAAGACAACATATGTTTCAGTTTGGTATTTGGTTTATCATTGTGTGAGATATAGCAGCTAGATATAATGCCTTTCCTATTTGGGTCATTTAAAAATAACTTTTCTAATGGAGATATAGTCAATGCTTTCGTAATTTTTATCAAGTTCTGGAATTTTGTATATCTCTTTCAGTTTCTCAATCACTAACTCACATTCAACCTTGCATTCGATCGACAGGCTATGCTTAAATTTGAGTTTTCCATAAGACAGAATAGAGTTACTATGGAAAAAATTGTCTATATGATGCAGTTGGTGTCCTTTAAGCAATGCTAAGTCTAAGGTTGGGATGTAATATTTTAAAGAATCAATTGGCATGGCTCTATATAATTTTGTCAAGTGACAGTTGTTTTTGAATACTAAATCCCAGGCTTTGAGTGTGGTCCTAGTAGTCAAAAGCATTTTCGATACGCCAGGTCTCCTTGAAGGGTTTAGCCAGGGTAGTTTCCCGATTTGATAGGGGAGAATGCTGGATTCCTCCATCTCCATCCATCTCGGCCTGTTTTTTTTCGTTATTAAAGCTTACAGCCACTGCAGCATTAGTAGCAAAATAGTATTTTCTAAAATTTGGGACACCAATGCCCCCGTAGATTTTTTGGTGCTGCAGGGATGTAAGCTTAATTCTATTGAGTTTATTGTTCCAGATAAATTTAAGCATTATTGAGTGCACTTTGTTGAAAAAGGACATTGGAACAGATAAAGGGATGGTTCTGAAGTAATACAGGATTTTTGGTAGAATCGACATTTTTATGGAGGCAATTCTTCCTAACCACGACAATTCCATGCCACCCCATCTCTCCATCTCCCTTTGTAGGTCTGGCCATGCTCCCTTCAAGTTATGAGTATGCATATTAGGTAAATGTTTGGATAAATTAATACCCAAATATTTCAGGTAATCCTTCCTCCAGTCGAACGGATATATTGCTTTCAATTCATCCATATCAGACTTTTGAAAATGAAAAGGCAAGGCCTGGGTCTTATATATATTTAATTTGTAATATGACACTTCTCCAAACTGGAGTAAAACTGTATTAAGAGATTCCAGAGATTCTTTTGGATTTTTAAGTGCTAATATGACATCATCTGCAAATAGCCCTATTTTGTGGGTGGATCCCTTGAAATACCTGCTATTTCTGGGGTTGTCCTGATCAATTCGGCCAGGGGTTCCATCACCAGAACAAAGAGAATCGGAAATAAGGGGCAACCTTGACGCGTCCCATTAGTTAGGGAAAAAGTTCTTGATTGGAAACCCGAGGCCGATACGTGAGCTGTGGGTGCGCAGTATAGTGCCTTAATCGCAGTGATGAAAGATTGTGGGATATCGAATCTACTCAATGTCTTCCATAGGTAACCCCAATGTACCCTGTCGAACGCCTTCTCTGCATCCAATGAAAGGAGCAGAGACTGAGTTTTTGTCGAATTAATATGCTGGATCAAGTTTATGAACCGTCTGGTTCCGTCAGGTGCCTGTCTTCCCTGGACGAATCCAACCTGGTCATTCTTGATCAATAGGGGTATTAAACTAGTTAAACGGTTCGCTAATATCTTAGCATACAATTTTATGTCATTGTTTATAAGGGATATGGGCCTAAAATTACAGAATTTATCAGGGGTTTTACCTGGTTTTGGCAAGGTGACAATCTGTGAGGACAAAGATTCTCCTGGCATCTTCCCCCCGGACTTATAGTAGTTAAATAAATTGGACATATGGGGAATTAAAATTTCTGCAAAGGTCTTATAATATAAAATGGTAAATCCATCAGATCCAGGAACCTTTCCTGACGGCATACGTTTAATTGCCTCGGCTATCTCTGCTTCAGATATATCGCACTCTAGTTTTTCCAAGTTATCAGATGACAGCCGAGGTAACGAAACCCTGTCTAAAAAATTATTAATAGATGCCTCAGATGGCTGGGTGAGGTTCAGGTCAGATTTCAAATTATAAAGTTCGCTATAATATTTTGCGAATTGATCGCTAATCTTATTCGGGTGGAATATTTTTTTGTCCTTGGTCATCTATTAACTGTGAAATTTTTGATTGGGCATTTACATGCCGGAGTTTGGACGCCAGGAGAGTTGAGGCCTTATTACCTTTTAAATAAAACAATTTCCTGAGGTGTCTCACCATGAGAGTAGTTCTATCTATATTTATTTTATGTATTTTTGATTTAATCTCCCCTATCATTGCTGACAGGGAAGAAGATGGACCGAGTTTATTAGCCTGATTTAAGTTATACAGTTCTTTTTCCAAGTTTCTTAAATTGTTGTTATTATTCTTCTTCAAGTGAGACGCCCTAGAAATGAAATGACCCCTCATCACAGCCTTGTGCGCATTCCATGTCACCTCGCCAGGAACCTCGTGCGAAACATTGTCCAAAAAATAATCATTTAGTACCCCCTCAGCGAGCGATCTGTTTTCAGGATCGTCTAACAAATAATCACTCAATCTCCACTGTCTGTTGGGGGAGGAAGAAACCGTTTCATCTATATGCAAAGTTATGGGAGCATGGTCAGACCAATTAATATCTAAAATATCAGATCTTGAGATGTGTGATATGAGAGTGCCCGGTATCATGAACCTGTCTAGCCTGGAATACATGTTCTTGGATACGGAGTAGTATGTGAAATCTCTCTCATTCTCGTGTAGTAATCTCCATGGGTCATACAATCCGCATTCAACCATATACTTTGAACATTTCACAGCTAATCTCTCACTGTCTCTCATGCGGGGTGTGTCTAGATTTTCCCTTGCATTATCTAAGTCACCGTCCTTAACGAAATTCGTATCTCCACACATCACTAAAATCCCTTTCATGTTCTCATTCACCAATTCCATTATTTTCCAAAAAAAAGTTAGTTGACCTGTGTTGGGGAAGTACACATTGACAATTGTATATAAAACATTGTTAACTTTACCGACCCACAGTATGTATCTCCCGTCATCATCCATCAGTATCTTATCTGTAGAGCTGGCCACCTTCCTACTAAAAAAAATAGAAGTACCTCTAGATTTAGACTTGTAGGTGCAGTGAAATTGGGATGGGAATAACCGTGTCATACATTTGTACGCTTTTCCTTCCTTAAGATGAGATTCTTGAATACATACAATATCCGATTTGTTGGATTTAACTAGAGATGTCCCGAACAGTTCGCCGGCGGACAGTTCCCGGCGAACATCGCATGTTCGCGTTCGCCACGGCGGGCGAACATATGCGATGTTCGGTCCGCCGCCTATTCCATATCATTGAGTTAACTTTGACAACCCCCCCACCCGCCGCGCGGGGGGGGGGTTGTCAAAGTTAACTCAATGATATGGGGGGGGGACCTACTGTCCTCCCCCCGGCCCCCACCCCTGAGCGGTGGGTGGGGGCCCTAAAAAAAACAATAGGGGGGAACTTCTGTCCCCCCCCGGCCCCCACCCCTGAGTGGTGGGTGGGGGCCCTAAATACTAAGAAGGGGGGGACCTAATGTCCTCCCCCCTGGCCCCCACCCCTGAGCGGTGGGTGGGGGCCCTAAATTGGAATAAGGGGGGGACCTAAGGTCCTCCCCCCTGGCCCCTACCCCTGAGCGGCGGGTGGGGGCCCTAAATACTAAAAAGGGGGGGGGACCTAAGGTCCTCCCCCCCTGGCCCCCACCCCTGAGCGGCGGGTGGGGGCCCTAAATACTAAAATGGGGGGGGGACCTAAGGTCCTCCCCCCTGGCCCCCACCCCTGAGCGGCGGGTGGGGGCCCTAAATACTAAAATGGGGGGGGGGACCTAAGGTAAAGCCATCCAATCAGAGTGCTCTGACAGGTAAATGAAGAGACTGACAGGTAAGTCTCTACATTTACCTGTCACAGCACTCTGATTGGTTGGTTTGAAATCCACCAATCAGAGTGCTCTGTGTCATTTTACACAGCGTGGGAAAGTTCTGTGGAATTTTCCCACGCTGTGTAATTTGACTCATAACACTCTGATTGGTGGATTAAGTAACCAATCAAAGAGTTATGAGTCAGGGGGCCAGGGGGGAGGACCTTAGGTCCCCCCCTTATTCCAATTTAGGGCCCCCACCCACCGCTCAGGGGTGGGGGCCAGGGAGGAGGACCTTAGGTCCCCCCCTTATTCCAATTTAGGGCCCCCACCCACCGCTCAGGGGTGGGGGCCAGGAGGGAGGACATTAGGCCCCCCCCCCTTTTTAGTATTTAGGGCCCCCACCCACCGCATAGGGGTGGGGGCCAGGGGGGAGGACCTTAGGTCCCCCCCCCTTTTTAGTATTTAGGGCCCCCACCCGCTGCTCAGGGGTGGGGGAGGACAGTAGGTCCCCCCCTCATTATTTTTATGGCCCCCACCCACCGTGCAGGGGTGGGGGCCGGGGGGGAGGACAGTAGGGCCTCCCCCCCATTGTAATTAATGGCCCCCACCCGTTGCACAGGGGTGGGAGCTAATAGGTTTTTTTTTGTTTGTTTGTTTGTTTGTTTTTTTACAGTGAGCAGCCACTGGCTGCTCACTGCTTACTAGACATGCCCCTACTCGCTGCATAGCGAGTAGGGGCAGATCATTTACTAATACTAAGTAATCTTTACTTAGTATTAGTAAATGTGGCTGAAAGACCAATTTAGGTCTTTCAGCCTTTTAGTAGATAACTCCCTAATACCGTGGGAATTAGGGAGTTATCTACTAAGCGGCTGCAAGATGCAGCCGCGGATCGGAGTTTGCATGCCACAGTCCAGGTGTTAGTCCCCTTGAAACATCTTGTGTGTTTTAAAATTCGCCTGTCTATTGAAGTCTATGGCGGTTCGCCCGGTTCGCGGGTTCGCGAACATTTGCCGAAATTCGCGTTCGCCGTTCGCGAACTGAAAATCTTATGTTCGCGACATCACTAATAATCACCTCTTGTGAGCGGTGTTAAGGCCCCTCACATTAAATGACATGAGTTTAATGACCATGACTCAAATCAGAGTGCACGGTCATTAAATGGAGAGTATATGGAAATGTGGGAGCCAGAAGGCCCACGTCCCAAGAGGAGAGTTATGAGATCCAACAATCGTAACAACAAATATTTTTGTTTAAACAAGAGTGAATTTGCTAAAACAATTAAGGCAGAACCTGGTAACTTCTTAAATCGTTTACAGTGTTTAAAAAAGTGGATGGAATAAAATAAAAATAAAAAATAAATAAGGGGTGATAAACTTTGGTAAATTCCCCTATACGGTGAGAAAAAATAACCTTAAATAAGAATAGGGCCATGAGGGAGAATAAAAAATATTTCCCCATCTCAGGGTATTAGGCCCAGGTTGGGGGGGAGGGAAGGCTGCCTTAGACCAGGGGACCGATGTATGTTTCTATCAAAACCAAAATACTACATTTATACTGAAAAATTATCGAATATATAAAAAATAGATAAGAAATAAATCAAGTCCTTCCAATCCTAGGTCTCTGCTGAAATAGATAATCGTTAAGGCAGGTTAAACTAGAGGAGAGAAAAAAGAAAAAACAAAGGGAAATAATTTCCTGTAGACTGACGTGGTATTGAGAAAACTCAAAAGTGAGTTACCTATTGCCTTAACCTGACCCAGTGTTAGGATAAAAGTAATATAATTTTGCAGAAACGTTAGTTGGCGCGGGGTAGAGAAACAAAAAAAGAGAAATTAGAAATCTGAAAACAAATTTTTAACATCAGAGGAAGTACGTCCAGTATGTTGTGAAGAAAAAAAAGCCTGGCAGTTTGTAAGCCAAGACCTTCCATGTTCAAGTGTCATTTGCCTTGCTCTTCTTATGAGCATGCTGTGGGGTTGATGGTGAAAGAGCGCGGGATTGAGTCTACCTTCTGTTGATAGTTTTGATGAAATCCGACCCTTCTTCCGGAGTGGCAATCGGGAAATTCCAACCGTCCATATTAAAGAGAACTTTTGTAGGGAATCCCCATCTATAGCATCTCAGTTCGGTTGTAAGATGCTGGAATTCCCTGCAATGTCTCATTGTGTATGCTGAGAAGTCCTGAAAGATCTTAATGTTTTTGAATTCATCAGGAAGACCTGATGTGCGGATAGTACCCAGTAGTACTACTTTTATGTGGAAAAAGTGGAGTCTTGCTATGGTGTCCTTTGGTGCTGCTGCTGGTGCCTTGTTGGATTTAGGTAGCCTATGGATCCGGTCTACTAGTAAGTCCAGATTGGTAGCCTCTGGTAGAATTGTGTTAACCATAGTTTGGAAATAGTTCAACAATTCAGACGTATCTACAGTGTCAGGGATCCCCCTGATTCTGAAGTTGTTGCGCCTGCTCCTGTCCTCAGAGTCAGCTATTCTCTATGCCTGCTGGTTGACCTGCTTTTGAAGCTCCTTAACAGTTTTTTCCAATTCTAAATGAGCGGATTCTTGTGTAGATAATCTGTGTTCAACGGCCTCCTTGCGTTGACCAATGTTCTCCAGAATCCCATACATGTTGTCAAAATCTTTTTTGAGATAATTTTTTAAGTCCACACGCAGGTCTTGTATTAATTGGATAATTAGTCCCGCCGACGGTGGTAAATCCTCTGCCATTTCCAGCGGCATGTGAGGGTTATAGGTCATAGTCTTGAAAGCAGTAGAAATTGTCTTGGGAGGAGTAGTGGCCATCTTAGTTGTAACATTGGTAGTGTGTGCTGTATTGGTGGCCATTTTAAGTATGACTGGAACTGGGGTCATGTTGTCATCCATTTTAGTGGTATCGGTTTTGGTGACCATATGATGAAAAATTTGGGGCACATTAAAACAATCTTCCTCCATATCTTGCACATTGAGGCTCTCTGCTGTCCCTTTAAGACTGACTGTGTGAGGGGAACGAGCGGCAGAGGTCCCTCCCGTCAAGTCTGACTGCCGTGAGGCAGGGGACCACGACGGGGATCGAAACCTCCCGCCGCCCGCCCCCTCATCCTCAGCCCGGCCTCCATTATATGCTAGGGACCGGGCTGCTTTACATGTAAGCCGCGAGCGGCTGCTGTCTCTGCTTGCTCTGCTTGCAGGAGCAGAATGTACACGCTCCGAGCTAATCAAATGCTCGGAGCGGTTTTCAGACCCCCCAGGAGTCACTGTGTGTGTGGCCGCGATCCCCCCGCTCTCAGATCTCTGCGAGCGGGTCCCGGCTGCACTAGCATATGAGCGGGCTTGAGAGAGGGTATGAGAGGAGGGTGGCTGTTTCTCCTTTGCCACCAATGAAGATTTTCCTGGTGAAATAAGCCTCTGGGTTACTGAGTGGGACGGGGAACGTGGGTGTGCTGGCATGCCCTTACTCACCCCCACTGAAGTTTTATCGGTCTTTTTTGCTGCAGGAACATTTTTCTCGGTACTTCTTTGTTTCTGCATGTTGAGCAGGACTTCATAGACAGATCAATGTGCTTTAAAAAGATGAATTTCGTTTGGAAAAAATTGTAATTAAACGAAATTGTCCCCAAGTCTCAGGAGCTTCCCTAGATTGTGGCCATTAAGATGGTGGCCAAACTCTGCCCCCGAAGCTTGAATTCTCATGGCCAAAAGCTGGTTCTTTTTCAATCCTCAAACCTCTAGGAATTATTCCTAATTTGAGGTATTGTTGGAGGTATTTTATCTCCCACCGTTACTTAATTTCTTTTTAGGCTAAACGTCCAGATATGCAGCTGTGTATATTGTCAATAAAGTTAGTTTGCGTTCCAGCCTGGCATGGTTTGCGCATGCGCAGTAACCTGCTAAAACGCTATCTAAAAGATAGAAGCTCCTGAGGAAGTCGGATTGACAAAACACGTAGAGCCACGTCAAGAAAAATCTGATACTTGGCTTAAAAGCATCGTGTGAAGCACCTTTACTTGAATTGTTTTGCACTTTTTACATTTGCACTTTAAATTTGTGCCATGAATTGTGTGCTGTGAAGGAAATTAATGCTAACTGCCATCTAAGTGGCAATTGAAGCACCTTAATTTACTATCCTTTACTTGAACTATCTTGCACATTTGCACTTGCACTTTATTATTCTGTGCTATGATCTTTGTGCTGTCAAGGAAGTTGCTGTGAGCTGCTATCCAAAGGGTTTTAAGCCTTTCCAGGCTTTTTATTGTGATTGTTGCACATTTATGTTTAGTGCTATTGCCTAATACATATGTTTTAAATTCGAATAAACGGTATATTGATTTCACTAATTAAAACATTTTTTCTCTCTACCAGGGCCGGACTGGGGATACAAAGCAGCCCTGGAAAAAAAAATTGTGCCAGCCCCATAAGTCACTGCGCCATATATTGTCGCGTGTAATATGTAAAGCTATGTCTTGCCAGGACAGATGATTGAGTAATATATATATATATATATATATATATATATATATATATATATATATTGCTTTTTCTAATATAAAATATAGGTCCTTTCAGGGTAAAACGTTTAATTATATAGTAAGCATACGCACATGCAGACACAGGCAATTTCACTGACATTTCAGTGACACACATAAGCTCATTGATACACAGCCTCATAGACAAACAATCTTACTGATATACATCAGCTCATTGACATAAAAACACAAGCTCACTCACTAGCAGGCACACGCATGCAAGAAAGCTCACTCACTAGCAGACGCACACACACAGCTTAATGTGGTGGTACTGGTGTCTATAGCATGTCCCTACAGGCTTTTCAACGTAAACTCTGACTTTTCAGACAAAAAGCAGTGTTTACATTGCTTCAAAGTGACACTGCTAGTGACAGTCACTCAGACGGTCACTAGAGGTGCTTCCTGTGACGTCATATTCCGGCGCCGGTCTCATTCAGCTGCGTGCTGGGGAGCAGAGCCAGCGCAGCTCGCGCAGCTCCCTCAGCGGCCGCCAGGACAAGTCCGCCAGCGGCCGCCAAAAGACCTCCCCAGCAGCCAGGGGAGGGCTGGCAGCCTTAGGCCTGGGGGCAAAACCAGTCAAGTAGACTGGTGCACCTGCCCAGGATCAGAGCCGGTGCAAGGATTTTTGCCGCCCTAGACAAAATAAAAATTTGCTGCCCCCACATGTCACATCACAATGCCCCACCCATATGATCTGCCATATGAACTAGCGCCAGTGCTGCACACAGTGTGTGTTTACATTAAAAAGCCTGCAGGGACCAGCTATAGACACCAGAACCACTTCATTAAGCTATAGTGTCCCTTTAATGTGAGGTAAATTATAGATTGGTGTCACTAATAATATACTAGATTGCCTACTTACAAGCAGATGAGGATGATGATGGGCTGCAGTTTGGCTCCACTGGTCTGGTGTAGAACAGGATCTCTGGGGCTGTTTGCAACTGTGGTCACAAAATTCAATGTTCTGGGAGAATTGGAAGCAGC